AAATCCGAGGAAAATTTGAACTATGATTAATGCGAAAAAGGAGATAGAAGCCCGCTTCTAGTCTTCGAACCCATAAAAATTTTAGGTTAGTTAGTTGGCACCTATCTGAGTAGGAGATATTGGGATGTTCCCTATCTAAAAGTTTTTTAGATAGCATGTAGGATTTGGCCATGATCTTCAAACTCATCGGAGATGTAGCCTGTGTACTTCAATTGGCCGATTTTTCGAGCTGGCACAAACGACAAATCTTCGGGCCACCAGTGCAAAATGAAGACGCAGTTCGTTAAAATTTAGGTACGGGCCAACACATCCTTCCATCAACTAGGTGGAAAATGAAACAAACTGACTTTCTGTGTTGTTCCGTCGGAAAGCGTTTAGACATTTAAGATAAAAATTGATTACATTTTACTTGAGGGCCATCCGTTTACTCAACAATGCCTGATATTGTGTACCCACACAAATATATTAATAGGTGCATATTTTCACCTTATGTCCGTCAGAAGTGGCTTTTAAGGGCTCTGCCAGTCTCGGCTATGTAAACTGAACTATGCTGAATGTTAAATCGAGCGAAAGTCCCAGCTGCACCCACAGTTCTGAGCACGCAGTGGCATTATCGACTGCGACGGACGAACTTTCATATATATATATATATATATATATATATATGTTGAGAAGATGATACCGACAAAGACAAGGTGAGCGCCCACTATCATAATATATATATATATATATATAGGCAGAATGATATTACCGACAAAGACAAGGGAGACTGGAATGGCCATTTCTGGCTTATTAGCCGTCGTCAGCCAGCCATACTTGTCTTTGTCGGTAATGCTATTCTGCCTATATATCACTCTCGAGCCCAACCAGCAGCCACACAGCGGCGCATGATATATAGGCAGAATGGAGGGTAGAGGCGTGGACTTCTAAACCATCAGGTCGCGAGTTCGAGGCTCGGGTGTTTCACATTTCGGGCTTGAGTATGGCTAGCTGACGATGGCTAATAAGCCAGAAATGGTCATTCCTGTCTCCCTTGTATTTGTCGGTAATACCATTCTGCCTATATATATGTTTATATATGTGATGTCGTGTAAATAAGGGATAAGCGATCATATTTCTTTTCTATGGAAGATTTTGGCAAGTATCGCTCACTATTTAATGACTTTCCATCATCTCCGTCTGAGGTTTCGGCCTACTTTTGACGCATGCGTGAGTTCCGCCATCCGTCAAACTGCCCTTCGTTCCGTCCATGTTTTCGTTTTATTTGTCGAGTGGACGCATTTTTTTCTGGGTTTACTTAAAATTTCTGGTTTTTGCGACTGTTGCTTCCTTCCATCTGACATCTATGTCATCAGTTTGGTTTTTTCTACGCAGTGGAGGTTTAAACTGTCGCGCGTATCTCCGCGTACCTTCTCAACCGCAATACATTTTGCCAGGCTCATGCTGCTTGTTGCAGCGCCCAGTAAGGTCGACAACCTCTGTAGATATTACAGCAGGGTGCTGTATTTATTGATGCCTATGCCCTCTGTCCGAGCTTGAGGACAAAAATTGTACTTCGTCTTGCATCCCCTCCGCTCCTGAGGAAAGTGCTCGTTAACTATATATAGTCCATCGCTTATAAAGTGGGTTTCTTCATAACTTTGGCGAACATGAAAGAAGTGCCTGTTTGGGGACGAACTTTGGTATTCCGACAGATGCGAATACATATTCTCTTGTTTAAGCGCGTGGGGGTTTTGGGCCTCTATTCCGCGTTTCAAAATTGATTTTCGCTCAAGATGACTGAGAACGCCTGCCCACGTCGGTGTAGAAAGTCAGCTCCCGTGAAGAATGCTGTTTTTGTTGGAGCTGCGAACAAGGGACGCAGTAAGCTTCGGGAACTTGGCAACGAATGTGTCATGTAAGTGATCAACGTAGCAACCCTGCGCATGCTTGCTTTGTCATACCGTTTAATTAAGCGAAGAAGGAACACCTGTTCAAGAGTTTTTTCTTTGTGAATTTGTCTAGCAGGTTCACCCACCACATCTTATTAAGTATTTAAAAGGCCCCCGCTAGCTCATTCCCACTTTCCAGGGTGGAACTTTCATGGGGCACCAATGATGACATTGTACCAGCTACTGACAATGGATCTTGCTGTGTCTGTACCTCGTTATCTGATTCTTAGGCCCACACTCGGTTTTCTTGACGTTATCTTGCTCCTGGAGCCGGGTGGGTCAGGGAAAGCGCGGTAGGTACTACGCAAGTATCTACTTGTACATGGTACGGCTGTAATCATGCCTGATCTAGCCGGCCTCGATGACCTCGCGAGCTTTACCTCCCCTTGCAAGTGTCTCACTGAACCTGTCCACGCGCAGGTTACCATCATTCCGTTCCTCCTTGCGGACGCAAGGCAGGAGTCGTCGTTTGCATCGGTCGAGCTATCAATTGTCTGGCTAGCACCGGCACACTGTGTTTATTGTCCTGAGCTTTCAGGACGATAAACACAGTGTTCCGGTGCACGAATCTTCTTCTTCACGTATGCATACACTGGAACTCGAAATTTCGCCTTCATTCGTGAATTGTCTGGTTGTCGGACCTTCATCGATGTGAGTTCTTAGACACCACCCAGCCAACTCCGGAGGGCTAGCTTCTTGTCAGACTGCGAGACGTCACCGCAGCTTGCCAACTCGCTCGGCTGCGCCCGACACGCAACTTAAAAGCTACGCGCGCATGTTAGTACGCGTGGCGTTTGCCACTATCAGCGCAAAACTGGCGACAGGTACGAAAACTGGCGCCAGTGGGAGCTAGGCGTTTGCGAGTCGAATGTTGTCAGGCGTGTTGAGCCCGGCTAAATGTTTTGGAAAGCTGCGCAGGAGACCTATACTACGTAGTTCTCAGAGAAATTGGGATTTCGACATCGATAAGTGTCTTACACGCGAAGATTTTGTCGCCCATTCAGTCAGTTGACTAGCCACGGACTCAACAAAGTCGGCTATGCCAAAACACGGCTGCTTTAATGCTAATGCAGTGTTATTAGACAGTTTGCCAGTTTCAGTGTGCAGCAATTCCGTCGAATCCAGACTTCACTCCTCAGCCTTGATCTTCATGGGGACTCCAGAAACACCATATCTCGAGTAGGTAGGTTGACAGAAACTCACAAATATGTACACATGCATTCATGCGTACATACATAGAAGACTTCAATGGATACGTTAATGTATGACGTTGCGGATGAACGAGCGAAACTTAGTGCCTTCCAAGAGGGACTTACTTTACAGCTATTTCCGACATTTTGTACGTTGTAGACCTCCAGGGCAATCCCTTTTTGAAATTCTTTCAAAACCGCCCATACACGTACCATCCTGCCGCAAAGTGATGTTATAATCTCTAGTCATATTTACAGTTGTGGTAACACTCGAACCTGCATTTCCTTTTCGACCGCCCTTACTGACTTCAAAATTATGCTCACCCATTCTGTTGGTTGTGTTATTGCTATTGATGGTAATCTTGCCATTGCAGTTGTTTGGGTTAAGCTCTCACGCTGTATGTAAAATTTCGCCTCGTTCGGATTTACAGCGACCTTTGGTGGGTCCCCAGGCAAGGGCTTGTCCTTGAACTTGTTTTCTTAGATGGGGTTTATACCATCCAAGCCTAAGCGACATAGCTCATACTAAAGTCCTGAAAATATCTCGCGCCGCCAGACACTCCCGTTTTTTTGGACATGGTGTCCGGTGATCATTATAGTATCCATGATTTGAACTAGGTCTCGAGTGCCATTCTATGTGAATTTATAAACTGCCCAACAGTTTGATCCAGGCCACTTAACCGCTTAAGTAGTTCAACGTGTATACAGGTCACGTACGACGATAAAATTAAGTTCTACTAACTCGCCGTCATAATTCATGGATTTGCCTTCGGAAATAGGGAGGAGGTGGCTCCGCACGATGACCTTACGCCATAGTTGGAGTTTGTTTCTCGGCCCCCGCTATCCAATCCAAGCCGCATGGAAAGTGGGTTGCAATCGCCAGGCGAAAAAAGGTGGGCTTCCGTTTTCCACTATTCACACAGGAGGCGAAATAACCTTTTGTGTAGATGCACACCTGTTTCTCTCGACGTTATTCCGGGGAAAAGAAAAGCTTTACAGTTCGCCAAAACAACTTTGAAAAAGTTGGGCCATATGCAGGTCGCAAACTAGACGGGATTAAATGTTTCCATCGCATTTTAAGACCTTACTTATCTCCTTACGGTCGTTTTTTCGTCGTAAAATGACGCGCGTGATGCGTAAGAGTATAAAGCATTCGGGCGATATGTTAGCTGTCAATCGTTTGAGCTAGGAGTTTAGTCGTTACGAGTTTCTTTGCCGTAGGCTCCTTGCTCCTACCGAAATTCAGAAGTATATCCGCTGTACACATTTTGTACAATCATTTTTCTGCTCCAGTACCCACATTGTCACAAGAACCCGGTTTTGCCTGGAGAGGGTTGCGGTATCCTACCACGAAAATCGCTGCTTTAGAGGGTCTGTTTTTTGCTCAGGGGGCAATCTCAGTCACTTCATCTGTAAATGATTAAAGATTTGGTAAGGTAATTTGGGCGCTCGACTTCGCCACCTAGGGCCTCAATGTGGCGCTTTAGCCTTGAACCTTATGCCTTATAAAGCCTGGTCCTGCGGCGCGTTTCAGGGATCGGAGTTAACCCCAAGCATTAGCCGACGCTCACGAGGCAGCGTACGATCTGATTATTAAAAACACATATACGGCCGATTAACAAAATAATCAGTTCCCGCACCCCGTGTGAAGGCATGCGATACGCCTCGGCCACAGAGGAACGCCCATCATGTCTAGCTACGCTTATTTCTTTGCGGAGCAAAAAGTGCCAAACGGTAGTACATTTGGCACAGGTGAGGATCAAATATGCGACCGGGTAAGATTGGAAACAGTAGCTAAGAGATAAAAACAGTCAGGACGTCCTATCGCCGATGAGAAGCTTTTTCGGAGAAAGTACCCAAGTGAGTCATCTGACCAAGTCATCTACCAACAACTCCGTTGGTCACATGACACGGGAAATACCGTCCAGTAATACCGTAACCTTTTAGAGACAACCTCGTAGTCGGGCTTCGTCCCGGACCTTGAAGTGAAAGCAGAAGAGTTCTGCCGTCCACGAAGCTAGGCAGAACCACTCATCTGAATCCGGAAATATTTGTGGACCACAAGAGCTGTCGTGTTGATTCCTGTCTGGTGGCAGAAACTACCATTTTTTAACTATTACCTTGCACCTCCAATAATTCGTAACTACTATTTGTTCTCCACTCTGCTTTCCCCAGCGTGATTGTGTCACTTCCGTTGGTATGTTTCGGGTTTTGGCCTGTTGTCTATAGCCCTTGGACACAGACAAACAACCGCCTTCAAACCTCTTCTTTCGTTTTGTCTCTTTAGGAAGCAGGTGTCACGTGATCATTCTATTAGTGACGTCGACAGGAGTGAAAGTCAGAATGACCGTGTGCATCAACGCTTCTCAGCGCGTTCTCGACGAAGAAGCCGGCACTCGCGGGATGCGCCACGCATGTCCACCCCAATGGGCCGGGACCGGTCCTCCCTTCGCCCATCCCTAGGTAGTGAGGTCCGCCATTCTGGAGAGTCTAATCATTCACTCCTCAACCTGCCAGATGTAGCCCCCGTTTCCTCTTGCTTAACACATCTTAGGTTGGTAAACGACGATATCATCCAAAGTACGATCCTTACATCGAAATTCGTCGTGCTAGGGAACGGCTCAGTCAGTACAAGACTAAGGGTGACTGGGCAACCGACATGCTTCTAAGCGATGACGCTGAGGAGGACCTCCAGAGGTACGAAGAGAAATTGAAGCGTAGATACTCTCAAAGGGTAAGTTAAGTCCTCTGGAACATTTTGCACAGTTTCTGGCTCAGTTTTCCTGCTTGTTTTTTTTTTCAAGTCGAGTAAGTCTCCATATAAAACCATATACCTTAGGGTGTCAGAGAGCACCGATGCAAAAAAATCTACCGAAACCCCTTGACACACATGCGGGATACTCCTGAGAGCATGTACCAGGGAGTTAAAACTTTCCGAATTGCCAATGTTCATGGCTGGAAGGTATATGAAACTTTGGAGATGAGGTTGCCTAGTATTGTATTTAACAACTCCCACAGTCGCCACCTCTAATTAGTTTGCATACTTATAGGGAACAAACAAGGTTCCCATTTGACAGGTTGACGACTTGAGGTTTATTTGACGAGGGCTGAAGACTATCACCGAGACGCTCGTGCCGCACTGAAGAATTTCCTTGACTTATATTTCATAGTCATCCGCCATTGGGCTCGTCAAAGTATGCTAGAGCGACCGATAAGAAAGTACTGCGCCCAGCGTAAGACGGAGTGGTTTGGATGACTAGAACAATCACTGTGTTATAAGGTCCCTCCGGAGTAATTTCGATGGCGGGGTAGGAAAGTTATCATACCTATGTTCAAATTAACAATCTGTAAGGCATAACGTACTAAGACCTGTCTCAACCCTGTTTATTTACTTCGGAATTTCCGTCTACCTCTCCATAAACATGCTTCAGTTTTTCACTACAGCCTGAGATGTTATGCCCAGACAGTAATTCTCTTATCCCAATAAACAGGGTGAATTCAGCGGTGAGCTGGAACTGGAAAGGCGTCAGATGGAGCTCCTGCGTCGTCAGCGAGACATTGACATGGGCAAGGTGACAGAAAGATATGCCGAATATGTCCTCACAATCCCAAAACCAGAACGCCAAAAGCACCACCCACGAACTCCGAATAAATTCCGTACCGTCTCCAGACGAGCCTGGGATGGGATGATCAGAAAGTGGCGCAAGCACCTACACTACTTTGACAGTCCGGAGTGAGTTATGCCTTCCTGCTGTTTATTTGTTCCTTCGAAAGTTAGACTGTGTCCGATGTGCGTAAGGTACTTCGAGCCAGCTTTGTGGAACGCATAACTGCCCGTAGGACGGCGTCGCAGCTCATTCTGAAGCCCAGATTTTTCGCACAAATCAGACCGTCTCTTTCCTACATAACCTCTTATATTTTACCACTTTGAATGCTCAAATTAGTCATTAATTTGGCTCTTATACTATGGTGTCTGCTGGCTCATTGCGTTTGCAAGCGTTGTGAATCTACTCTGGCCTCCATTTGTGTGCTTTTCGACGGAAATCAAAAGTTAGACGCGATGCTTCGTCATCCTTTGATCATAGATTCGATCTGCGCTTGTCTTTGTACCCCACGGGACTGGATACTTAAGAGAGCCCTGGGACCAAGTTGAACGGTAGACTCCCAGAATGCAAGAACTGCGGACTTCGACTTTTCGCATTTGCTGGATTTAGCGACCATCAGTGGGCATCGTAGTTTTTTCACCTTTTCTTACTGAACATCTTGTTTCGACCTCTCAAGGTTTCCTCGACACGCCCCTCCCCTCAACTGCTTGATAACTATTCATGAGCTGCCTAGACCAGTTTCTCACACCGAGTTCACCTAGCCCATTTTCGACTGCTACAGCTTCTATCTCTGTTCTAGATTGCTATCCTTTTCTCTACTCTCGGTCGTATTCCATCCAACTGCATCAATTGCGTCCAGTTAATCGTAAATTTGAGTGACGTTACCTTTTCTCTAGAAAACGTACAGGTGTTTAGGCGATCTGCTAACAGCCTCAGCTAGTAGAATGTCCAAGTTTCGGTCAGTCTTCTTTTGCCCGGTTTTTTTTCGTCTAAGTTGTGTAAACTGGTGTTGTTCTACCGATTGCTGCAGTTTCAACGAAACCTGGCGTTCATTGGCTACCGACGTTTCTCTGAGTTCATGTGGGAGTTACGCGTCCTCTCAGAATGGCAGTCATTCTGAATCTCTGCACGCATCCTCCGACGAGGCTTGCGAGAGCAACAGCACTGAGCAACCACCCTCAGAAAACGACCCCGTCCTTTCCTCTCTGTCAACAGTCCGGGCGGGAAAGGCATGGAGCCAACGTCATAACATCCCCGTTATTATGGACGAGGAAGACACTCTTCAAGGTCTCAACAAGGCGTCGGCCGCGAACGCAGGTGGTATAGCGTCGACCACTGAGGGCCTCAATTCAGACGAAGAAACGCTTCATGCCTCAGATGTTGCCTCCCGTTTCAACCTTCGAGCCCGACCGCAAAAGTAATAATTTAGTTTTCTTTCCCCTTCCATAATGCGCTCATCTTTACTTTCTTTGCGTGTGGAGTGCGTTAAATGCAAACCTCACGCCTCGTTAGCCACTACACTCAATCTCTACCTCTAGCCATGTCGGAGTGGCCCTATCGTTGTTAAAGGAGAGAGAAGAGAGTGAACTGGTTCTAACTTAGTTCTGGGGCTTATTTTTCCCGTTATAAGCAATTAAACAAACTTCAGACTATTACAACATGCCAACAAACCACCACGTCCATCTACAGTTGTCTTGGCTCAGTCCTCCTGCAACATGATGCGATTGGTAAGAGGGAGTGTAACAAATGCTTCAGAAGTCTACCTTAAACAAATTAGCACGCAAGGTTTCGCGGTATCCACGGACGGCCGCGGTCCCGCGGCTTGCGACCGAAACATTACCGTCTACTTCTGGTTTGGCATGCTACTTCCTGTTTCTTGCCTAACAGACGTACAAGGAAAGGAGAGTAATAGGAACATAGGCCCGTGTCCTTTGTTCTGCTGGTTTAGTTAGATTTACTAATAACCGAAAGTGACTGTACTTTATTTTGTGGCTATACGTCTACTTTTTGTTGCTTTATGTCGATCGGCCCCCTCCTAGTATTGCACGCAAAAATTGAGCAGATTGTACACCTAACCGGAACAAACCTTTTACCACTGTGGAATATGTTCTGCTTTAATTCTCTGGCTTTATTTCTGAGAACCTGCAACGCTGCCTTCGTTGTGCTAATCCCTTTCACAGTGATGTCGCCGACGCGCTAACTTTCCTGAGGGAACCTTCCCTGTTATTGCCGCACGGACTGGTAGTCGGTTCTTGGAGGTTTACCTGAACCAGATGACTTTCAAGACACTGAAGCTTTGTAGGCCTTAGCATCTCCCAAGGCACTGCGCCTACACCAGTACTTTTTGCGCACATATATTTCAATTGCGAGCATCCCATTATGTGATCGTATCATTTGGATTGGTTACTGTGCATGTTCTTCATCGGGCCACTTGAACAAGGAACTTGCACTTACGAATAGCCAACTTAGCATGTGAAAAGTTTGCTCGGACTGTAAGTCACCCGTCTGCACGTTAATGTATTTTCGACGTAGTCTGGATCAACTTATTAATTGCCAATGTAGCTTCGTTTGACTTCGTCCCATAATGCGGGAGTTGTGTTTGAATCCGATTTCTGAAGCGACATGTATACTTTTTACTGAAATTTGGCGACATTCGAAAAATCGCATGACACGGAACGTTATACACCGTCTTCTCATGTGGACTTCTCCGCGTTGTCCCGTTTTGCAGCAGAATCAGCTGGAAGCTCCTCATACAGGGAAGAATATGTATCCCCAAAAATGCAGTCTTTGCTCACAGAAAGAACACCGTTTGCTTTCCTTTTGGTTCCCTAGATCCGATCTCAGTGGTCGCTTTGCTCCCGCTCCTGACGTGCTGCATTCGGGTTTGACAAACGACATGTACTCACTTTCCTCAAAGCGCGGACGAAAAGCAAGCGGATCGGGTAAGCTCTGAGGCTTTTGCACAGACTGTTGTTTTCAGGGAGGTTCAAGAGCATTATTTAATGCTAGGGCGAGACTATTGTAATTAAGAGGCAAGCTAACTTTCCCGGAAACCCAGACTTCCTCATGCAGTTTGTCTTTGTGGCCATAGTTGAACTCCTATCCTACCTTATATCCACGTGCCATATTATCTGCTGGCCCATTTTGGCCTTCGTCGTTCGCGTTGTGATCTCAACTCGGAGATTGGTGACGCGTTAGTGTCCCACATAGTACTACAAAAAGGGGAATTTTATACTATTCAAACTCGGAAATTCTTTCAACGTGATCTATTGTGGTGTTTAGCAAAAGGGTCATGTTTGCTCTAAACCTTTGCCTGTGTTTGAGGCTAGTTCCGTAACAATTTACTACCAATACTTAGACTGTTGTAGTGATGAGAAGTTCCAAGTCGTTTGGCATATTTATTTTGGTAAGAAACTAGCCTCGACCCACTTTTGTACTCTGCTTTAGAAGCTGTCGCACCCCCTGAGATCTTGTCACCCACAAAGAAGACACGCCGGCCATCTGGTAACACTGGCAAGATTTCGGCATGGAATTCACGCTCAACCACAGTTGCAGAAAACTCAGCACCTGCCCGCAAGTCTTCTGGCAAGCTGAAGAGTCCTCGTTGAGGCCTGCAAAGCCAAGAAAGCAAACTCAGACTGGCTCTACTTGTTTTTCCACTCTTTCCTGCTGCGGTATATTGTTCGGTTGCACAGTACTTTTTAAAGAAAGAGGCGTTTAATCGTGTTCTCGATTCTGACTCATAATTTGTATTTTTTCTAAAGCTGTTTTAGTGTTAAATACCTGTTAATTGTTTCGCATTATTTTCTCCTTTGAAAGCGAGCCTTTGCACACTTTATGTAGTTGTTGTCGTCTTGTAAATCATGATACTTTCCTGTCCATGTGCAGGGGCTGTGTTACCGCTGTCTTTATGCGGAGTTCCTTGAAGAACAGTTTGCTCTTTATTGAACGTCTTCAAATGGGACCAGCAGTGAAAGAGATCTTTAAAAACGCTAACTTCTCTTATTATTGCATTTCCCAAAGGCGGATCGTTGTTGCTGAGTAGCAATTTAACACCGCGTCCGAAGGGCCAAGCTGTTGCGTGCAGGTTTTCATACTCGGTAGTTGACATCTGGGATAGTCACCAGAAATCAACCTACTGGCAGAGTGGACGTTTGCCCAGTTAGACTCGGGACTCAGTCACAGTAGGTTTGTCAGATGATGCTTGGATGATCTTCCAGGAGTCGGTGCGAGATGAGTGCTGTCTGACTGTCTCTGCCAAAGTCCCTAGTGTATTTGCACTGAGATGTCAGCAAGGTTGCGACCTTTTTTCAGGTCTCGCGGACCTTGGAATCGGTTAGTGTCTGACGACTGCTTGAAATCTCTCCCCGGACGGGACTGATGTCTTGGAGGTAAATGGGAGGCAGGGTTCTACGTAGACAGTGAAGTCCTATAATACGGTCAGAGGACCGTACGCGTCTGCAGATGGGGATGCTGGCCACTGGTTAAGTTCCCCGATGGCACGTAGTAATCCTGACAGCACATGCGACCTGTCCTCGGGTGGCGACGATGAAGTCCTTCATCCAACGTGAACTGGCTTAGTTGTCCTGCGTGGTTGGGGTGTGCGTCGCGCATGGGACGCATGCAGTAATCAAAACACGGTTCTTGCTCAACGGGGAGGGAGAGGGGGTGGTTTCCTTTCGTGGGCAGTGTGGCAGGCACCCTCCACTGTAATTTAAAGTTCGTCGGCCTTCTACAAGTCAGCTCGTAGAATCCACTATACGATCCAACATCAATGGCACGCGGACCTAGGCAGAGGTCACTTGGATGAAATTTTCACCCTGCGCAGATTAGGGCGCAACTACAAGTTTAGGTGGTCAGGTAGCACACTGGTCTCTGGTAGCGTGGAAGAGGGTTACTTGGGCCGTGCGCGGTTCGAGCATGGATTGAATGCTTTCCCGGGGCCCATGAACGGTATTTCAGTCACTGCTCGTCTCGGGTGGTTCCGTTTTCAAGTCAGATTTCAGCTGCTTATTTTCTCCGAAACGGAACTATCTTACCCCTCAACTCAGAGGTCCTCTGATGGTCATGGAAAGCTGCCGTGGATTTCTTCCTTGAAAATTCTGTAAGCAGAAACAAGAGATCCATTAATGATAGGCTGATTGGTAATACTGCATGTGCCCCAAATGGCCTGGGGACTTCAAGGTCGGTGGTACTCGTCTAGCACAGGTGAGTGCGGGTTTGCTTCCCAGAGTTCACATCGAGCTGCGAAAGCCATCACGGTATGGGAGGTGCCCGTTTATTTATACTGTGGGGTTGTCAAGCGGCACGACAGGATTCCTGACACGGAAGTTCGGGAAAGGGTCGGAGTCCACACCATGCTGGGACATACAACTGCAATGGCGGTTGCATCGTGAGGGTGGAGAATGGGCCTGCTCAAGCGACTGTTTTACGGTTGCGTGGCCACGAATGCCCCTAGACAAGGCGGACAAAGGCGTTGTTACAAGGACACCTTGAAGATCTCCCTAAAGAACCTACAAGTCAACGCTGATATCTGGTTGGACCTCGCTCGAGATGGACGGTCCCGGGCGGACTGCCATGAAGATTGGAGTTGTCGTCTTCAAGACCAGGCGGACAGCCTTTGCCAAGACAGAAAGAGTGCTTTATACGACCCAAATGTTGCGAACTGACATCTGAAGTACCCAACCCCTTCCATCATGCCCCCCCCTCCCCTGTCAACGGACATTACGAGCAAGAATCAGCCTCATCGGACATTCTCCGAATCCAATGAAACATCGATACGGTAAGTCTGCCTCCCGTCGCAGAAGACGCCCCCCCCAGCACCGCCGCCACCACCGCCATAACCTCTGGCAAGGACACTTCCGCCGTCTTGCAAACCATCATCACCATCGTCCCTTTATCAATGCGGACTCAATCCCAACCTGTCACCATTGCGACCACATCCCTCATCGGCCTAGTCGGTTTGCGAATCCACCGTAGCAAGACCAGCAAACCAGTGCCTGGTGGCCCTGGCATAGGTCCTGTTCACACTAAATCAGGACATTCGGCAACCCCGTATGGGTCTTACAAACACATGCACATGCATGGCAGCAGAATACCTCGCAATGTCATTACAGTCGGCCCACATCAGGCACACAAAACCACCATAAGCAGCTCCAAATCCACCACCGCCAGTATCATCACTTCTAACAACACACCAGCTCATTGACCACAAACCCCCATTGTCACTATATTAGAGTCACGCATCGGAATGGTTGGTCACGTGCGAATCCACGGCACGGAGATTGGCGAACCCATCTCTCCTGCTCACCTGTCCACCCTGTTCCAGGACATTCACTCACCACATGGGTCTATTCGTCCCTATGTGCCTCCTCCAAGATCTCTGGTAAGGAACCATAATCCAGACCTAGTCACGGCACCTCGCCCTACCTGCCCACACACCTCCCCAGGCCCCGTATGGACCTACTACAAGATACGCACATACTCGCCACCCACATATCACCAAACCTTCCTCATGCAGCGGCCATGCGATTGGCCTTGCCACTGTCGATATGGCTGGCTAAACGTCGTACATCAGAAACTGCGCATCTAATGTATATGGGAAGCCTGTCCTTTGGTGTATCCTGGTACATGAAGTGGGGACCAGGTCGTGTGTGACACTTAGATGGGTTGTCGTATTCTCAGCCGCCACACCTTATCCCATCGGCAGTTGGCAGAGACTTGGACAGTTGACTAGGGCATTGGAGGGCGAAGCCGACACTGCGTTATGCGTCTCCAGGGAAAATCAGTCCAATCCTCAGTATAACAAGTTCTACGTGCTAAGAGTCATACTTTGGAAGGTTTCCAGCCGACGGGGTATCATGGTCTTTATTGGAGTATTTCGGAGCGACTGGAACCCCGAGAGTCAGGCTGCAGTGGTCCCTTCTTAATGTGGCCTCGGCGGCACTCAGGCAAATGAGATCAGAACCATTCCTACGAAGCCCAGTACACCTAGTGTCCGGTGATAAGCCAATGTAATAAGGTCTTAAATTCGGACGAATCCCCAAGAACACCCGCTGAATGTTGCATTCCAGCTTATACCGCTCAAGTCAACCTTTATTTGGTTAAAATTGCCTCGCCACATTTTGCGGCTGACAGTGATGCCTCGGTCAGGTACAGAAAAGAGTGAATACTCCCACAGTAGGATTACGTGATCACTTTTGCCGAGACAGGTTACAACATAGACACTGTCAGGCGTTTTTTTCAGTACAAGGTCCAAGCAGTTGACTTGTTACCCTTCACGTAGGCTGGTTGGAGGCAAGGCATGTTGAGTAAGGGATAACTTATGTATTGCTGGTAGGAGGCGACGATCAAAGTTTAGTTCTGAGTCTGCGCGTGGAACTTAAATTCTAGTTGATATTCGGCGCGTTGAAGTTGCCCAACAATCATGACATCGGAGGGGATAGCAAACGCTTCTAATTCCTCCATCAGACTACTTTCTGACAGTGGGTCTTTCTTTGGTGGTCGGTAGACCGTCAGGATGTCGAGAGCTTGTGACCCCGGCGTTCCGATGGTGAGCCAAACTGCTGCAGTTGTACGCGCGAGCTTTTCCGTTTTTTTCTGGAATGAGCAGGCCACGTTTGATATAACTGAGCACACCCCTACCTTGACGCCCCAGTCTATCCTTTCTGAACAAAGTAAAATCAGGGGGTGGCTTCGCCATCGTCTGCATTCATGGGCAGCTAAGTTCCGGTTATGGGTATGATATCTGGTAAAGTTTGGCATACACAAATCTTGAACTCATCTTATTTGGATAACAGACTTCGCGCATTGGTAAGCATGCATTTGGCTTTTTTGTTGTAGGCCCGCTATGTCGTCATCTTTGTCATTTACTTCAGCTGTAACGACATACGCACAGGAATTATCCATATAAACCGGAACGGCCGCCTGATTATCTGGTTGTTGTATATAACCGGGTTTTGTTTTCCGCTCCATAGTCACAGTCTGAGCTCCTGGACTAACTGCTGACGTTTTGGTCACCTCGGCGGTGCGTAACCCGGCTGCAAACCCCCCTGTGGAAATATTTTAGTTGGAAAGGTCTTGGGGAGGGGGATAAGAGCAACCTGTTCTTTAAAACCTAGAACAATTCTGAGGGACCTAGGACGCGGTGGAGTGGAGGGCTCAGTAGTGAGCCTTCAGAGTCTGAAGGCTTTTAATCCTGAGACTTCCTCGCTAGGTTGCAGCACTGGGTTCAGAAGACCTTGAAACAAGTCAAGGTCTGTTAAAACGTACTCCTTACGTGTGTCTGCATTTGCCTCCCGAAGTCCCTGTATTACCAAGAATTATTCTCGGGCGGCTTGTCATTAGGTCAGTATAGGTCAG